GGGTTAGGATTGGGAGGATCAGATCATTCCAGGGTAACAAGAGTTTCTTTGTGGTGATGAGACAGTTCTGCACCCCATTTGAGGTAATTGATTACACGCATCTACACAAGTGGTAACATTTGACAGAACTATACACCCACATACATATACACACACACATAGAATGTGTGTAAAAACTGGTGAAATGTTACTTGAGTTCATAGTATTAAGTTGGCCAAAAAGTTCATTTGGTTTTTATCTGTAAGATGGCTCTAGTAGTGCTTAGTTGTCTTTAACTTCATTCAAAACAATTGTTAGATTGTATTGTGACAGCTGTCATATCAGTGTGCATTTTACTAAAAATTTATCAAAATTGGTGAATTTTTGTGTAGCCATTTTAATATTGAAGGTGGAAAAAAATACACATTTTTATATTATTCTTTAATCTTTCAAGAAAGGTAAAAAACTGCAACTGAAGCACAAAAAAAGGTTTGTATTTGTGCAGTGTATGTAGAAGGTGCTGTGATGATCAAACCTGACAGAAGTAGTCTCCAAAGTTTAGTGCTGGAGATTTCTCACTGGGCGATGCTCAGGAAGACCACTTAAAGTTGGTAGCAATTAAATCGAGACATTGAGAGCAATCAATGTTATACCGTAAGGGAGATAGCCGACATAATTAAAATATTCAGATCAATAAAGTTATTGGTGAAAATGAAAAATGTGTCATTTTACAGAAAAAACTAAACAAACTTTTTGGCCAACACAGTATTATGCCAATGTCAAGTTCCTGGTTTTGACAATGACCTATGGTTATGCAAGATATCACCACTAGGGGAAGCTGGATGAAACAGAACTGGCTTAATTCATTAAAAGCTCACCGAACTAAACTAAAATGAATGAAGAGCCCTAACCACTAGGGCTCGGTTGGTTGGGTGTCACCCCAAAAAGTGAAAGGTTACGGGTTCAATCCCAGGTCAGGGCTCATGCCTGGGTTGCGGGTTCAGTCCAATCAGGGCATGTGCAAGAGGCAACCAACCAATGTTTCTTTCACATATAGATGTTTCTCTCCCTCTCTTTCTCCCACCCTTCCCCTCTCTAAAAATAAATACTAAAATAAAATCTTTAAAAATAAAATGAAGAGCCAGCTTGCACATGCAAATAGGTGATGATAAAAGTAGAACAGATTACATCAAACCAAGTACCAGGGAAATCTGTACTCTTTTTGCAACTTCTTGGAAGTCATATTAATTTCAAAATATAAAAAAATATAAAAAAATAAAGGAGTTGAAAAATAATTTATAGCCAAAAAGTGGAAAGAACCCAAATGTCCACCAATGGGTGAATGGGTAAAATGTGCTATACCAATACAATGAAACATTATTTGGCAATATAAAGGCATGAAGTACCAATACATGTTACATAGATGAACCCTAAAAACATTATACTAAGTGAAACAAATCAGACATAAGACCATATATTGTATGATTCCATTGATATAAAATTCCAAAACAGGTAAGTTCACAGAGGCAAAAAATAAACTAATAGTTGCTGGGGTCAGGGAAGAATAGAGAGTAATTGCTAAATAAGTACAGAATTTCTCTTGGGGGATGATGAAAATGTTCTTGACTTAGATAATGTTGATGGTTATGAAACTTTATGAATATATCAAAAACCAGTAAGTTATAAACTTTAAAAGATAAACTTTACGTTACATAAATTATGTCTCAATAAAAGTTACCTGTAGGAAAAAAATCAACAAATAAAAAATACCTTTTAAAAGTTCATACATACACATGCCCCAAAGCCAAAATCTATCACAAGCCATGTGATTTAGCTAATTCTTAAGATTCAGGACTGAATGACACTGTGGTCCTTCCCTGATCTGATGCCAGTTACTCACAATCAGCACAATTAGTAATTGGCAAATTAAACTCATTGGAACAATAAAATTAGATTAAAATTTAGACTCTGCAAAGCAGGAATAGCTTAATCTTATTTCTGACAACTACAAGTTCCAAAATACTAAGAAATGGAATGGCCTAATTCATAAAAGCTCACAGAACTGAACTAAACTAAAATGAAGAGCCAGCTTGCACATACAAACATAATAGTCATATTATATCAAACCAGGCCCATGTAGTCACATAGCAAAAATTCAAGTTTGACAGTCATTATATTAATAGTTTAAATTTAGCCCTAGTACATATGCCTTTTCCTCCCCTAGAGAACTAGGTAAAAACACTGGTCATCAGGAAACCTGAATTCTGGATCAAACTAAACCAACTGTGTGACCTTACTCTGTCAGAGCTGCCGTAAAATGAGTAGTACATCTCAGACTCCCAGACTCCTGAGGTCCCTTCCACCACCTCTTCTCTCCAGCACCACTCCTTTCATCCTAAAAACAAGTCATAATTCTCCCAATGACCTATAAGGCCTTCCTCACTCTGACTCCTCCACCCTCCCATCACCATCCTCTTCTATAGCACCCCAGGACCATGACCTTAGGGTTCCTCCAACATTCCTAGCCTACTGCTCCCCAGGACTTTGCCACATTCCCTCATTCCAGCTTCGCTTCAATGTCATCTCCTCAAACAGTTGTGTGTGGACCCTAGTCTCAGGCTGCCTTGAGTCAATTTACCAACTGGGCACATTTCTTACTCATTCTGTGTCCCCATTTCCTGGTCTGTAAAATAATGATAACAACAATGTCTACCTCAAAGGTAGAGTAACTGGCAGGTTCAAATGCCATTACTACTACTTAAGGAGCCTCATCTTAATATTCTCCATATACCTTAGCACTATCTGAAATCAGAATCTTTGTCATCCTTGGGGAGAAGATTTGTTCCTTATTCAAAGCTCCATCACCACCTCCTAGGAAAGGCATGCAAATACTGTCGAATACATGCAGAAATAAATACCAAGCATTCCTTTAAAAATAATGTCTTGATTCAAAGAATCAAGGCTTGGCTTTAGGCCCTGGCCAGACAGCACAGTTGGTTAGGGCATCATCCCAATATATCAAGGTTATGGGTTTAATCCCCAGTCAGAGCACATACAAGAATCAGCTAATGAATGCCTAAATAAGTGGAATGACAAATTAATATGTGTGCATGTCTCTCTCTAAAATCAATCAATAAAAATTTTTTTACTGACACTGCCTGATCAAACAGTTATATAATTGGCCTGGTCTCCACTTGCTAATTAATTACCTTGCAGATCAATCAGTTCTTTTAGGCATTGGTGCGGGGGGGGTCCCCTCAAATCTTATCACATAAAAACAAGAGACAACTGAAGAAACTGACTGATTAATCTGTGGGAGTAAAAGTTGAATACTGTGGATATATGCTAATTCTTTATAAACATACCACATAAATTCCAACCACAGCACACCAAAAAAGAAAAGCTCTAGGCCATTAGGAAAGCCAATCCCTGAGTATTTACACACACACACACACACACACACACACACACGCACGCACACACGCACAGAATCCTCCCCTAAACCCCAAACCCCAGGCATGCTTTTTTCAATTCCTTTTCACATTTCTGAACATAATGGGCTATGGGGAAATAAAAGTTGTGATTAAAACCCAATACTTAGGATACTAAACATTACAGTTCTCCTTTCTTATTGACTAAATATGCATCGTTCACCAAAGGAAATACCAAATTTGAGGTTCTAATTGAATGGAAAGCTAGCATTAATTTTTTTAAACATCTAAAACTACCAAATATTCCATTCCAGTTCCTCCCCCCCCAGTCCCCCAGTTTCTTTTCCTAAGGAAGGCATTATGTGGATATCCACATTTTGTGGAATCCTGAACGTACTCACAAATTATATTCCGTTTTGAGTGAACAAAAATCCTGGCATGATATACTTACTATACTACATCAGTAATGACTTAGGCAGTTTTCATAGATGCCACCAGTGAGTATGAAATGCCCTAGGCAGAGACCAAGGTGAATGAGAAAGCAGAAAGCCTAGAAATGCTGCAGGGTAGTCCCCTAAAGGAAACAAAAAACTAAAAATGCCTCGTGATTTTATTTAAAGATGACCATGGACTGTCAGTCCCCATAGTACCAAAATTACCACAGAATATTTCTTATTCAAAAAGAAAAGCAAAGCCACAAATCTAGAAGGAGTGGCAGATGTTTTTAAATTAAGGGGGGAAAAGGAAAAAGAAAGAGGTGGCGGCGCTCTGCAGTCTTGGAGCAGCTCTCCAGGAAAGGCTTCTTGGACGCCGGCCGCTCCCACTCCGATCTGCGGCCGGGCTGGAGGTGGCCAGCAGCTGGCATGCTTTAAATATCACCACCCTATTCATCAACTCCGAGCACAATGAGGGCCCGGGAAGCCGCGCCGGCGACCGCCAGAGCACACACCCACCCGTCCCGCGCAGCAGTCACGCTCGGCCCAAGCACAAAGTTTCGAATACAAACCCGAGCGCCCAAACCCGTAGGTCTCGGCGCTGAACTCGCGCCAGTTACTAGGCAGAGGCGAACCTCTGAAGACCACCGGCTCGGGTTTTCAGCCTAAAGGTTGAGAGGCAGGAGCCAGGGAGGACAAGCGAAACGGACACGCACAACTCTCTAGTCTCCCGCACACTCCGCCCCTCTTCTTCTCAAGCCCCAAAGCCCAGGTGGGAGCGGCTAAGCAGCCTCAAGCCGCACAAGGCGTGCCAGAGCCAGCGTCCGTCCCAAAAAGAGCCCACGACCCCACAGCTAGCTCTGCACGCAGGGGGTGGCGCGCACGCCCGGCGCCCTCACCCGCCCGCCCCGTCAGCCACGGCGACAGGAGGCCGGGGAGCTCTGGGAACTGGCCGCCGCCAGCTTGCGCGCGCCCCTCCCCGATGAGCCCCCCTCCCCCCAGGCCGCTCTCTGGACGTGCAGGAGGCTAGCACCAGCGTCCCTGGGGATCAGCCCGCCCTCCGGCCCTTGGGAGCCGGGTAACTTCCCCAGCGTGGTTGCGGGCTGCCCCACACCGTGCAAGGGTCACGCTCGGCCCGAGCGCAGAGTGGACTCACTTTTTCGGATGTTTCTCTCTTTTCGGCCTCCGCTTTCGGGCCTGAATGGCCAGCACTGGGGAAACAGAAGAGACATTAACGGTCGGGCTGGCCGGCCGGCCGGGCCGCGTGGCGGAAAGGAGGGATTGCCGCGGGCCACTCACCTTTCCGGGAGCTCATCCCAACGCAGCGGAAGCGGGGCGGGGGTCTTCGCGGCAGCAGTGGCGACGCGCGAGCCCAGCCGGGATGCAGCCTCCACTCGCTCCGCCAGCCGGGAGGAGGCGGGAACAGCGCCTGCGCCGCCACCACAGCCGCTCCCGCGGGGGGCGCAAGACCCGCCCCCGGCCGGCCCCGCCCCCACCCGCCTGGTGGGGTCCGGGTTCCAGACACCAGGACTTTCCCGCGCGTCCCGCACCCACCTGCCCGCCCCACCTGTGCAGAAGCGACACCCCCCCACCACCACCACGACCACCGGCGCTCTGGCCCTCGGCCTCCTCGCACTAGCCCGCAGCTCGGGCCTCCGCCTCCTGCGCCCCCGCGGCTAGCCCAGGCCTCTTGCCTCTCCTGGGCACCTGGCGCTCGCGATCCTCCCTCTCCAGCCGCAGCCTCACCCCTACGCACCCCAGCTGGTGGCGCCGCCCGCCTGTCCATGCACCTTTCCTTGACCAGCGCCTCTGTGGGTCTCACCCCACTGTTCTTCGCGCGGCCTTTTCTCCCTCTTTGCTCCTCTACATCCTTGCATCCCCAAGAGCGCCGCTTCCTTCTTTCCGGCGGGTATGGAAAGGTCACTGGACCAAGAGCTGGGAGACGTGGGTCCTTCCGTAGGTGTGTGACCTTGGAAAAGTCATCTTATCTCACCATTACCTATCACACAGGATTGCTTGAGTTTAATGAAGGAATAGTTGCAAGTAGCGTGGAAAGTATAATGAAGTTTTTGCACGTGAATTAAGTACCATGTGCACAACTATTTAACCCAACAATATCAAAAATACTGTAATTACTTTCTCTATCTTACAATAGAGAAACTGAGTCTTAAACACGTTGAACAGTTTACCCAGCTATGATTCAGATATAGGCCTAGTTGTCTTCAAGTTCTTTCTGCATACCATGCTTCCTAATAAAGATGTAAATCAAGTTGATAATGGGATGAAATAACTGCAGTGTTCCTTTTTTTTAAATAATTATAATATTTTTGAATTCTCACTTTGGCTACACAAGTATTTTTAATTGATCAAGGTAGCTTAGTCTTCATTTGAAATATGCTAAACCTTACCTATCAGAAAACAGTACTTAGACTTGAAGAGCTTTTTTACTTTCTCAACTCAGTATTTTTATTAAAAAAACATCAAACCTACAGAAAAATTACAAAAAAATATAATGAATATCTATACTAACCCCCTATTCACCAATTTTTAACATTTCACTACATTTGATTTCCCAGTGTAAGTAAATGTGGGGTTGGAATATACTGTTTTTGCTGGATTGTTTGAGTTTTTTGCAGACATTGTTACCTTTTACCCCTAAATATTTCAATGTGTCTACTAAGAACAAAGATTCTCCTACATAATCAGAATTCTATTATCACTCCAAGAAAATTTAAAATTAATGTAATACTATTATTTGTAATATACCAAGGCCATATTCAAATTTTCAAAATGTCTTTAGCTGACTCTTTTTCCAACCCAGGATACAATCAAGGATCATGTGCTGCATTTAGTTGTCTTGTATTTTAAAACTTCTTTAGTCTAGGATAATCCCTGGTTTTGTTTTTTACCAGTACAACACTGACTGTTTTTGAAGAATCCAATTCTGTTTTGCAGAATGGTCCTCAGTTTTTTCCTATTAGATTCGAGTTAAATAATTGTATCGGGTACTCCACACATGTAGATAATACTGTGTCAGTACATTGTGTCAGGATGCGGGACATATCATGTCAGTTTGTTCGTTATTGCTTATGTTACATTTAATCATTTCATGGTGAAGGCACCTTTTTCCCTTTTTACTTAAAAAGTAGCCTGTGTGAAAAATGGACAAAAGACTCAGGAAAAAGACTTTTCTCCAAAGAAGATGTACAAATGACAACAAGTACATGACAATATGCTCAACATTGTTAGAAAAATGCAAAGTAAAAACATACGAAATATGATTTCATGTCTACTAGAAACACTTTAACTTTTTTAACAGGAAATAATTCTTGTCAAGGATGTAGAGACATTGGACTCCTCATACATTGCTGGTGGAAATGGAAAATGGTATAATCACTCTGGAAAATAGTTTCGCAGTTCCTCAGGAAGCTAACCATAGAATTATCAGCAATTCCACTCCTGGGTATATATCCAAAAGAATTGAAAACAGGTACTCAGACAAATACTTGTACACGAATGTTCTGAGCAGTATGAATCACAGTACCCAAAAGGTTAGAAACAACCCAAATATTCATGAGTGTATGAGTAGGTAAACATATTGTGACAGAGACCTACAGTGAAATATTTTTCAGCCATGAAAAAGTGAAATACTGATGATGCATGCTTCAATGTGGATGAACCTCAAAAACATTATGCCACATGAAAGAAGCCAGGCGCTAAAGGTCCCATATTATAGGACTCTATTTATAGGAAACAGCCAGAATGAACAAATCCACAGAAAGCAAATTGGTGGTGGCCAATGTCTGGGCTGGGGGCAGGGGGTGGGAGGTGTGGAGAAATGAGGAGCAACTGGCTAATGAGCAGAGAGTTTTATTTTGTAGTAAGAAAAATGTTTTGGCACTAGATTGAGATGGTAAATGTACTAAATGCCACTGAATTGTTCACTCTAAAATGTTTAACTCCACAAGATATAAATTTCACCTCAGTTTTGAAAATAGTAAACTATGGGGTGTGAGTGTGCTTCCCCAAGAATGCTTCACTCTGTGTTCTAGCCTCCACTGATGGTGCTTGCCTGAATCAAGTATTACGATAGTGGTTGTAGAATAACATAATCCTAGCATTTCATCTGTTCCATCTATTTTAATTGACATTTTTATGTGAGGAAGAGCTTTCATTTCTCCTGCAATGCCTTTGTTGTCTGTTTGGGACTTGTTTTCTGGTTTTGATTTTGGCATCAATATTGACAGTAGTTACCATCACTTTAATTTTTGATTCTTGAATTATCCCATGTTTGACCAGGAAAGACACTTTAAACTTGCAATGTCCTTTGGATATGTACCAATCAGGTTTTAAGCACCTCTTTACATTCTGGCATTTGATGTTCCAAGAAACCTTGTGCTTTCCCTAACTAGGTCACGGAACTTGCTATTTCTTAAGTCTTGGTTTATTGTACAAGGTGATTAGACACTTTGAAGCCAAAGAAATCCGATTTGAAACCAGTTTTTTATTATTTTTAACAGCTTTATTGAGACATAATCCACATACCACACAATTCACCCATTTAAAGTAAAAAATAATAATAATGATTTTCCATATATTCACTGGTTGTGCAGCTGCCACCACATTCCAATTTTAAAACACTTTTATTACCCCTAAAGGGAACTCCATACCCATAGCAGCCACCCCTTGTTCTCCACCAACCTCTCCTTGCCCAAGCCTTAGGCAACCACTAGGATTCTCACTCTCTATAGACTATTCTATGCAGATTATATAAACACAATTATACAACATGTGTCCTTTGTGACTGCCTTCTTTCACTTAGCATAATGTTGAAAACAATTTCTGCTACTTAATTTCTGTATATCCTTGGGAAAGTTACTTAATTACAACATCTGGAAAATGGTAATAATATTAATACCAACTTTCCTAGGTCAATATGATAATGAAATAAGATATAGAAAATATTTAATAAGCAGGAATTATCATTAGCACTGGTTGAGAAACACTACCCCATCTGTTTGCTGAATCTTGAGCATTCATTTGTTCCCAAATACTTATCAAATACCTATTATATAGTAGGCATTATCCTAGGCATTCTTCCATTATAGTACGCTTAGCACACAAAAATCAAATAAATATGTGAAATACACACTATGCTTACCAGATGGCGATAACATCTATGAAAACTACACACACACACAGACACACACCCCAGCAACCTTCTGGGAAGGTGTTTAGGAAAGGCCTGACTGACAAGGTAACACAATTAGCCCTGTCTGGTGTGGTTCAGTGGGTTGGACATTGTCTGGCAAACTGAAAGGTCTATTCCCAGTCAGGGCACATGCCTGGGTTGCAGACCAGGTCCCTGGTTGGGGACATGCGAGAGTGAGAGGCAAACAATCAATGTTTCTCTCCCTCCTTTCCTGTCTCTCTAAAAATAAATAAATAAAATCTATTTTTTAAAAAAAGGTAACATTTAAAGATCTTAAAATGGTCTCATCAGTCATTATATTTCTATAAATTAGGAGAGAACTATATTTGCCACCTAGAATATTTGTAATGTTCATTACAATACCCCAACTTAATTAGCAACAAACACCTTTACATACATTGTGTTAGATGCTTAAAAAACAATAATAAATTATAGACCTACCCTCTGCCAATATGGAAATTAAAATTTTCTTTAAGAGGCATTATAATTTAGAATGACATTTTAAAGGAAATGCAAAAAAGAAGGATAAAAGTAATAGAGTATGAATTTAATATTTTTATTTTACCATCATTTACTGCTACATGAATCAATTATGTGGCCCTGGCCAGGTAGCTCGGTTGGTATAAGTGCATTGGCCAACATGTCAAGATTGTATGTTCAATTCCTAGCCAGAGCATACACAAGAAGCAACCAGTAAATGCATAAGTGAGTGGAAGAGCAAATTGATCTTTGTCTGTCTGTCTGTCTGTCTCTCCCCCCTCCCTCTCTCTGTCTCTAAAAATCAATAAATAAAAATTAAAAATCAATTATGTGAATTACTATAATTAAGAAAGGGAACTAATACCCTGGTCGGTGTGGCTCAGTTGGTTGGATCATCATCACATAACCAAAAGGTTGCATGCTAGGTTTGCAGTCAGGGCACATACCAAGTTGCAGATTTGGTCCCCAGTCAGGGCTCATAGGATCAAGTAACCAACCAATGCTTCTCTCTTGCATTGATGTTTCTCTTTCTCTGTTCCTTTCTCTCTTACTCTCTCTCTAAAAGAAGTGAAAAAATGTCCTCTAGTGAAGATAAAAATTTAAAAATAATAAAAAGGGGAAGTAGCCCTAGCCAGGAAGCGCAGTGGTTAGAGCATTGTCCCCGTACACCAAGACTGCAGATTCCGTCCCCAGTCAGGGCACATGCAAGAATCAACCAATGAATGCATATATAAATGGAACAATAAATTGATGTTTCTCTTTCTCTCTTTCTCTAAAACCAATAAGTAATAAAAAAAATTTTAAGCCTATGAGTATTAGAACTGTATATACTTAGGTCTCTGTAACAGTCCAAAAGAAGTGAAAAATGGCAGTACATATGCATTTCCCCCCCCCCAAGCAAGCTCAGCAAAATTCAAGAAAAATGTATCAATTAATTTTTACCAAATGTAAGAGAAAACTAATGAATGCTGTACATCCAATTGCACTCTTACATTACCAAGTTGATGTCATCATCATAACATCATCATTGGCATCATCAAAACAACAGTGTAACACAGAAATTAGTGTACAGAACAGTAAAGCCTGACTTCCAGAGGTCAAATCCTGGCTCTACCATTAGCTAGCTGGGTAACCTTGGGCAAGTTACTCAGTGCCTCAGTTTCCTGATCTGCAAAATGTAGACAATAATATCA